AAAGTAAGAGAATTACTTTCTACCTCTCTCATTCCAGGTCAGGGTCTTGGGTGGCTAGAGCCTATCCTGGCGGAAACCCACCTGGGCAGGACACCCTCCTATGGCGGGTGCTCTCACCCACACCCACCCACATTCGGACGGGGGCAAGGCAGACGCCCCGATGAACCTGCCCATCTTTGGAAGGTGGGAGGAAAATGGAATCTCCGGAGGAAACCCACAGACATGGAGACAACGTGCAAACTCCACGCCGGCTGTGGCCTTGGCCTGGAATCAATTTTTTATTTTCCCACGAATGTTATAATGAAACAATGTTATTCAAGGACCTGCGGTACGTGTGTGCATGTCTACTGTGTATGTCTGTATGTATACATTATATACATACACACACAAATATGGTATTAACTGTTTCAGTCAATGTGCTAAATCTTTTTTAAAGATTTTATTTATTTATGTATGTATGTATTTATTTATTGATTGATAGAGAGGGGAAGGGTGGGAGAAAGAGAGGAAGAGAAACATCGATGTGTGGTTGCCTCCCGTGCACCCCCTACTGGGGACCTGGCCCACAATCCAGGCTTGTGCCCTGACTGGAAATCCAAACAGCAGCCCATTGGTTCACAGGCTGGCACTCAATCCACTGAGCCACACCAGCCCTAAGATCTTCTTTTAAATTTAGTCTTCATTGTATTTTTTTCCATTACCATTTAGTCCCCTTATATCATCCTCCCCCGAGCAATCATAACACCATTGTCCATATCCATGGGTCCTTTTTCCTTTTTGTTCGATCCTTCTGTCCCTCCCCTCCCCCTACCTAGCTGTCATCTGTTCTCCATCTAAGAGTTGGTCCCCATTTTTCTCGTTAGTTTGGTTTGTTCATTAGATTCCACATGAGTGGAATTATATGGTATTTGTCTTTCTCTGACTGGCTTATTTCACTTAGCATAATGTTCTCCAGGTACATCCATATCGTTGCAAAGGGTAAAATTTTCTTTTTTTTATGGCCAACTAGTATTCCATTGTATAAATGTCCCACAGTTGTTTTATCCACTCATCTACTAATGGACACTTGGGCTGCTTCCATATCTTGGTGATTGTAAATAATGCTTCAATGAACATAGGGGTGCTTATATTCTTTCAAATTAGTGTTTTGGGTTCCTTCGGATACATTCCCAGAAGTGGAATAGCTGGATTGAAAGGCAGATGCCCTTTTAATTTTCTGAAGTATCTTCATACTGCTTTCTACAGTGGCTGCACCAGTCTGAGTTCCCACCAAGAGTGCAAAAGTCTTCCCCCTTCTCCACACCTTCACCAGCACTTGCTGTTGATGTATTGATGACAGCCATTCTGACAGGTGTGAAACGCTATCTCATTGTGGTTTTAATTTGCATTTCTCTGATGATTAGTGGTGCCATTGAGCATCTTTTCATATGTCTATTGTCCATTTGTATATCCCCTTTGAAGAAGTGTCTATTCAGGTCCTTTGCCCATTTTTTAATTGGGTTTTTCATTTTTCTTTTGGTGTTGAGTTTTGTAAGTTCTTTATAAATTTGGGATATTAACCACTTATCAGATATATTGGCAAATATATTCTCCCATTCTGTGAGTTGTCTTTTTATTTTGTTGATTTCCTTTGCTGTGCAAAAACTTCTTAGTTTGATGTAGTCCCATTTATTAATTTTTTTCTTTTGTTTCCCTTGCTTGGGGAGATATATCCACTAAAATATTGCTATGAGCAATGTCCAAGATTTTGCCGCCTATGTTTTCTTCTACAATTTTTGTGGTTTCTGGTCTAACATTTAAATCTTTGCTCCATTTTGAGTTTATTCTTGTGTGTGGCGTAAGAAGGTGGTCTAGTTTCATTTCTCTGCATGTGTCTGTCCAATTTTCCCAACACCATTTACTGAATAAACTATCATCAGCCCGTTGTGTGTGCTTGCTTCCTCTATCAGATTTTAATTGGCTATTTAGGTGTGGGTTTATTTCTGGGCTCTCTATTCGGTTCCATTGATCTATGTGCCTGTTTTTATGCCAGTACCAGGCTGTTTGGACTACTATGAAATTGAAGAAGATACAAATAGGTGGAAGCACATACTGTGTTTATGGATGGGAGGAATTAACATTAAAATGCCCATACTACCCAAAGCAATCTATGGGTATAATGCAATTCCTATCAAGATTCCAGTGATGTATTTCACAGAACTGGAACAAATATTTCAAAAATTTGTATGGAACCACAGAAGGCCCCAGACAGCAACAGGGATCCTGAGAAAGAAGAACAAAGTTGGAGGAATCACGCCGCCTATTATCAAACTGCACTGCAAGGCAATGTGCTAAGATCTTATTCAATCCTAATTAGCCCCTACGAAGCAGGTTTCACACTCCCCATTTTACAGAAGGACAAACAGAGGCTCAGGGAGGGGGAGTAGCTGCTGCCTGCTCACCCAGCTGGGGAGTGGTGGGGCAGGATTCGACCCAGGGGCTGATGTCCAAGTGCATGCTTGAGCCTCTGTGCAATGCTGCCCATTTGTGAGCCGGGACTTTCATGGGACAGGTTTTCTTTAACAGTCAAGACCAGGCCCCCTGGTTTATAGCTAACCCCACCCTCTCTCATGGTACTCCTGGAGGCTGGGCTTCTGGGGTTCTGAGAGTCTTACCCAGCAGGCCCACCCTTTCTCAGTATAATCCTCAGTGGATTATAAAAGATGACTCCTTTCACTTTGTTCCCGACAGCCTTGCCAATGCTGGGGCCGGGGGGAGCAGTCCTGTCATGGTCTGGTTTTGACATCTGCTGAGGGAACAGAACTATGAGGCAGGTGATGCTCTATCTCAGCCACAGTGAGCATTGGACTGGGAAGCAGGCTCTGGTCCCAAATAGGTACCTCGAATTTGACTGCTTCTAAATTCAGATGAATCTTCGTTGAAAAAGAATGATCAGTAGAATGAATACAGCCACGATCAGTCCTGCACACTATCTGTAAACAAACTCATTGTTACTCCTCATTTGTGGGAGAAACATACTGAGAAACTCCCACGAGAGAAGTGGGAGATTTAAATTATATTGTTTGTTCTCTGTAATTGAACAAGTGCTGTGTGCATGTAAGAAATGAGTACAGTGTTCTCAGAACACCCCGTGGACATGAAGCGCTGCCAGATAAAGGAATCCCAGGGTCGAAGGCTGGGCTTTGCTGTGAGTCTTTTCTGAGCTATAAAAACACTAATTCTCACTGCGAAATTCTAAGAAGGGAATATAGTTCTCAGCATTTCCAAGGTTCATTTGACCATGCATCTTTTTACAAAGGGTTAGCAGACCCTGGAATATATTTGCAAACCCTAGGATTAAAAATTACTAGTAAGTATAACTCCTTACATGCACAGAATGCTTTATAGCTGGTCCCCAATGAGCTTCCAGATATGATTTCATTCAGGGTTTTCTCAAGGGACGAAGGAGAGGGTCGTCTGAGATTGTGGTAGGCAAGAGCAAGACTGCAGGTGGCATCAGCAGAGGAACTTGGGCTCCGGAGAAGCTCCAGTGAAGCTGGGGAAAAAGGCCACTTCACTGGGTTCCCAGTCTCCCAAAAGAGATGGATCCTCAGGAGGGTCCCACTCTCCCTCAGAGCCCAAGGGAAGACCAACCCCCCACCAACCTCCCCTAGGTCTCCAGACAGCATGAGGTCCCAGCCAGGCACTTCTCTGGCTTTCTTGCTGCAGGAACACAGAATGATTGTTGGGGAACACAACCTTCCAGAAGGACCATGTCATGGCTGCCTGTCCTCAAGGGCTTGAGCCAAGGCTGGCTCTGGGCCACATGGCCGGATGTAGCCATTCTCTCTGCCTCCAATTATATTTAGGATGCTCAGGACCAATGAATGACCTGATCACTCAAATCATATCAGAGTGTGCTAATCCAACATGCTAACCCTCTTGGGATAAACTTACTTTTCAAGGGCAACGTTTGCCTAACGGTGGGATTGCAGGCCCTGCTGCAGAGTGATGGAGGGCACGTCTTTGATCTGCTGTGCCTTCCCAGGGCCCCATGAGCAATCCACTGTAAATCCATCCCCGTTAACCACTCTGCTTTTCCAGGTGCACCACTGTACTTGTGTATCCAGCAAAAAAATACAGTCTTCTCAGTTATGAACCTAATGTTCTGGACCCACCAGAAGGCCTTTGCTACCTAACAACCACTCATTTGCACCCCTGGGACTCTGCAGGGAGTAACCACATAATGACCACAGCAGGAACCAGGTCCTGTCTGAAGAACTTTGTATGTATTACCTTGCTTAAGTCTCACAGTGACCCAGTAGAAGAGATGGTGACTCCTCTGCAGAGATGCCAGTCTGCCCAGGGCTGAAGGGCAGAGGGCTGGTCTGGACCGAGAGCAGCTGGTATTGCAGACCTGCAGAGGCCTTTAGAAGTAGCTCCACCCATGCTGCTCAGGCAAAGTACAAACTGGAAGGCATATGCAACTTAAAACAGAGTCTCAGAGAAATAAATGTGCTATCAAAAGGAATGAATCTGAAATAGGCGATATTTAAGAATTAGTAGGGGAGGCTGTGTTGGCCAGAGAACATTTCCAGGTAAAACAGCTCCCTCCAAAACTAACAAAAATCTAACACACTGCCATGGCTAGTGTGTATCAGTGAATTGAGTGCCAGCCTGTGAACCGAAAGGTTGATGGTTTGATTCCCAGTCAGGGCATGTGCCTGGGTTGCAGGCCAGGTCCCCAGTTGGAAGAAACCTATAGATGTTTCTCTCACACATCAATGTTTCTCTCCCTCCCTTTCTCCCTCCCTTCCCCTCTCACTAAAAAAATAAAATTTTAAAAAACCTAACAAACCACACTAAACAAAACTAAAATATAAACAACAAAGCCCCACAGAAAATCACCAGCAGGCAATCACCTCTTCTGTGTGTGGATAAAACTTACAGTTCTAGAAATAAAGGGACAGAGATAAGAGTTCAAAGTATGGAAATACTTTTTTTTTCATTTAATGCCAGGTTTCAAAGCAGGAAGAATACATCTGTCACTGTTGTACATTCATTCTGTTTAAAACCCACCCAGACCCAGATGCCTGAATGGGCTTGCAGGAGTAGGAAGGTCCCCACGGCCGCTTCTCAAAGCCAGTGAAGAACTCTGCACTGGGAGTGTGGAGCACGCCCCCTCGTGGCCATCACTTCTTTTTGAACACCTGATGGCACACCTGGTCACCGCATGTCAGCTCCTGCAGCATCAGAAAGTGGACGAGTGATGAACAAGTGGGGCCTTTTCTTCCCCAGACCCCTGGCTCTCTTGGTGTCTGTGATTTGGGTGGGGAGGGTGGGGGGAGCTGTACTAAAGAAGACACTTATTCTGGGGAGAGAGCATCTCACAGATCCAATCAGCTGGCATGCCCTGCAGGTAGCAGTACTTTGATTTTGACACTTGACTTGAACTTAACTATAAAAATGAAAATTTCAAGGAAATTGCCCTCTTGGGTAGGATTTCTGCTACTTTCATCATTAAAACAACATCGCCTAATTTAGAAAAAGCAGCAACACCAAGGAGAAGAAAAGGATTCAGTGGGGAGAAGTGTTCAGATGACAAGAAACTAGGAAGATGCTGGCTGGTGAGCTATGTCCCTCCACTCTGTGAACTTTCTGGCCTCTGGACATTAGAACATTGGTTGGAGGTGGCCCAGGCAATGAAAGGGTGTGGTTGCAGAAGGGCCCCCAAGGCTGCCTGTGCAGGCAAGGTGCTGTTTTTCACCTAGAGAGAGGGAGCCCCCAGGCTTTCTGCACACCCCATGACCCTTTGAGGGAGGGGGAAAAACAGGAGTGTGGGGACCACCACGAGATCATTGCAGTTGACAATGAATCCATTGTCTTAACCACAAGGACTGTTGGGTGTTGTATTACAATTTAAAAGATTTGGCATCTAAACCAGAGCAGATAGGGAAAATAGTCAATGGCAAACACAGTGAATGCCTTTTATTTATCATCAGTCGTGACACTGCCTCCGAAATAAAGATCTCGATCTCAGGTGAGGCAAGGCTGGCTCTGAAGGGCACAACCGTGACCCTTCAGAGCCAGCCTGACCTCAGGCTGACCTCAGAGCCAGGGACCTGCCCAACACCACAGATGAATGAATGAATGAATGAATGAACGAACAAACAAAGAGCCATTCATTGAATGAACCACTCAGTTAACAAATGAGTGACTGAATGCACTAAGGAATGAATGATTTTTTCATTATTTGAATGTTTGACCCATAAATTGCCTTGAAAATTGAAGAATGAAAAATTAAGCTACCTATACAGATATAGTTTGAGGGTATCAGCAACAGTACCTACTGCTCTGTTCTAGTACCAAATAACCTAAAACATTTTGCAATCAGGTAGACATACCTTATGATAAGAGGACAATATATGTGGTCTACAAGCAGTTCAGAAGCCTAGCTGCCCCCCAATTTGTTCTACCTGCACCCCAACCCCTCTTTTTCCAGGTTCATATCACTGTGAAGAGGCCTGGTCCCACCTGCTTTTGGGACATATTAATTCTGTACCTCACATTCCTCCCCAGCTGGTCTTTAATGGGTCCCCTGCATTTCTCCATGTGTCTCAGCCCCTAACTCAGCATTTTGAACTTTCATTTTAATTGTAGCCATTCACAGAAATAGCCATATAAATTTCTTCCTGGAGTCCCCTGAGCCAGATAGGAATGGCTTTCTCCTGGGCTGGAGCTCAGGAGAGGAGTGCAGGGCCATTTTTCCTGTCAAACTGCCTGGCTAGATGAACAGGCAGTCGGCCTGAGCACAGTGAAAGGGAGCTGGGCTGACTCCGGGACTTACCAGGTGTAGCTTGTCCCCTTCCACCCACTGCCTCCAGCCACGGTTCTCCTTTTCTCCCTTCTGCACGCACACAAGGACATCGCCTTCCCAGGTGATCAGCGTCTGCAAGACAAGTTCCCATACAAATCAGCTGTCTGGTCTTGATTGGGGCCGAACAAACCTGCACCTGCCACTGCAGTCCTGAAACTGTTCCTGGGCTCCTGCTGGCCCTCCAGTCAGAGCCCTCTGTCTCGACCAAGATCCTTCCAGTTTCACTTTCCATATACACCTGCCGTTCCAGCCACACCAGCACATCACAGCTGGTTCTGTCCCCTGTTAAAGAATTCCACTCTTCCATTTTACCCTATGGCAAAGATAGCATTCCAAATGACAGGGGGGAGGGGGGAAATGATGAATTTGACTGTATGGTGATGTAAAATTTCTAGAAGATAAAAATACTTCAGAGGCAACAGATGAATAACAAACAGGGAAAAATAATTGTACCACATGTCAGGCAAAGATCTGATTCTCTTATATAAGGAGCTCCTATAAATCAATAAGAAAAAGATCATTAACCTAATAGGAAATTCAACAAAGGACGCCAACCAATAGCTTACAAGGGAAAAAAACACAACCCTAGCAGATGGCTTTTAAACATAAGATATTCAACTTCACTCATAATAAGAGAAATGCAAATGAAGGCTGTTTGTTTTTTTAGATACAATTCATCTTAGAGTCAAAGATGAAACAATGATAACACACTGCAGAGAAAGAAGCAGGCACCTTCGGGCATCCAGTCAGTATTAATCTTGTATTATCTTTCAAAATATAACATTACTATACTAGAACTTCTACTTTGGGGAATTTTCCCTACAGGAATCACATTGTGAGCAGTGCCCACTGCCTGTCTCGTTTGCAGGGGCCGCACTCACGGCTCTAGGGCCAGACTAGTCCTCCCGAAGTAGGAGGGTAGACCCGTCTCTGGTCCTGGGTCTCTTCCAGCAGCGGTGCCGGCTGGTTGGCATCACGGGGCGGCAGCAGAGAGGAAGAGCCTGTGTTGCCTGAGCAGCAGGTCGGAGAAGCCACAAATCTACTAAACCTCAAGAGGCTCAAATCCTTGTGCACATATTTAAAAATCACACATCCCCCCAACTTCTCCTCTGTTCCCCCTTTTACCTTTCCCAGCATGTGCCAGGGATAATCTTTACTCCCCACAGGTTCAGGGCCACCCATTTCTGTGCCAGAATTAGGCTTGCAGGCGCACCTCCTGAGATAAGGCGTCATTCCCACCCAAGCAGTGGTTTTGTGTGGGTGCTGACCTTCCTCAGGGATGTGCAAACCATATTACCCTTCTATGAACAATAATATGCTAAGGACTAGATGTTTACCTTTTTTTTTGTATCTTATAAACCTAGTTGGTGATGTACTGAACTATGTCTTTAATTGTACTGCTCTGCACATTCAGGTCCATTTTTTTTGCTACAATTCTGTTTTCTACAGATTGTTTAAGTCTACCTGTTTCTCAAATAATATTTGACCTTGATCATATTATATATTTTATATACAATTTTTTCCCTCATCCTGTTACTCCTCAACACATTGCTGCAATAGACTGGAAGCCTCAGAAATTCTGTCGGTGGGTGCCTGGTCGAATAGGGTATGGTTCCTCCCTGCTACGCAGCTCCTCGGGCAGTTCTACACTTAGGGAGAAGAGCAGTCCCCACAGTATACAGCTAGAGTCTAAAAGCCCAGAGCAGGCCCATGTGTGTAAAACCAGAGGGTTGTCTGCATGTGCATGTGTTTGCACAGGTTCCCTGAAAGGAGGGAAAACAACCTTTAATAGTGATTGTCCTGAGGAGCAAACTGAGAGGCTGGGGGCAAGGGTGGGAAGAAAATTTTAGTTTTCACTCTTCAATTCTGCTTAACTATCTGTATGTATTAATATTCCCCAAATTAACTTAGCAATGAAATTCTACATGCTTTCTAAAGCCTCACATCTTAGAATGTCTTGGAGATGCTTAATGTACAGGTTGTTCTAGACCTTCTGGGAGGGAGATGTTGGCTGGAATACTCCAGAGTCCCCTTCCAAACAGATGAGAAAGGAATACACACTTGTTGTGGCCTATCCTTGGTCTCGGACTCAGTCCCCTCCCAAATGGACGAGAAAGGACTTGTGTCTTCTATTTGGGCAGGGATTGTGTCTTCTAACCCCTTCTGCCCACAGTGCCTTACACATCAGGGACACCTAGTGCATGTTTATTGAATTAGTGTGTATCTCCCCTAATAGACAATAAGCTCCATGAAAGGAGATGCCATGTCCACTGTTCATTTCTGCAACCCCAGCCTCGGCACAGCCACCAGTGCATAGGAGGTGCTGGATAAACCCTGGTGAATGTATCTGTGTTTGATTTTGTTAAATGGGATCTTGAACTAAACCCACATAGGGGAATAAAGCAGCATGTGTATTCTTTTTTGATGATAGTTCTTGACGATGACTCAGCCAGCCTATCTCTTTGCCTTAGTTTCTATGGTAGCACTGGAGTGCATACGTGTCCATCAGATTGGACACTGGATGGTAATTGTCCATCTACCTGTCTTCTTTCATGAAGCTAGGAGATCTCTGAGAGCCAAAAAGGGGGTCTGATTCATCACTTCATCAATAGCTCCTGACCTGGAGCTTTGCAAATTTGTAATAAGAACAAAGGAGAAAAATGTCTGGTGCATGAGGGCCTGTCCTAATATTTTCTTTTAATAACTCATATTGGGAGGCAAAGTTAAAAGTTATTTCGACCCTCAAGTACATTGATTACCAATGAATCATGGCAACACCTACCTGTTACAGCCTCAACTTTACATAAAACAGGCAATAGTTGGTGTCCTTTATCCCCGTATCAGAGGGTGCTTTTAAAAGAGGCTCAGCTGCCTTAAAAGATCTTGAGGCTGAGGAAGTGGAAAACCATTGCTTCTGAGTGGAGGGTGGGAGAGGGAGAGCATTCCATGAGGATGAAGAGGATGTGCCTGCAGTGAGTTGAAGAAGGAAGCTGGGCCCACACTGTGATTTCACTCTTATGGTGTCCACCGTTGACATCGCTACAAACGGTCCTTTGTGGTAAATTAGATGCAGGTACTGTATCTACGTTAAATTTATAGAAGTTGATAAACATACTGTGGTTACATAAGAGAATATCCTAATTCTTAGAAAATACACACTGAGTTATTTAGGGGTAACAACAGATTGCTTAGAAAAAACAAGTATGTAATAGAGAGAGCATGCACAAGAAATAAAGCAAACGGAGCAAGATGGTGATAATAGGGAACTCTTGGTGAAGAGTGTAAGGATGGTCTTGGTCATATTCTTGAAGCTTTTCTGTAAATTTGAAACACTCCCATGTAAGTATGTTATTTTTTAAAGGGAAATAGCTCTCTGTTGAGCATTGAAGAACACTGTGAACACATTTAAACCCTCCCCAGTGCACCTGCCCCCCCGTAAGAGTTATTCCTGCAGGGCCCACCCTCCTCTCTGGCAAACCCTGTGGCAGGGGACCTTCCTGGAGGAGGCTGCTTCTCTTGGGCTCTTGGGTGACATTATTGGTTCTATTGGTCCTAGTTGCTATCATCCTTATCTGCTTTTCTCTGCCCCAATTACTTATTTTTAAAATTGAGATACGATTCACATATGATAAAATTCACCCTCATAAAGTATATGATTCAGTCAGTTGTGGCATACTCACAAGGTTGTAAAACCAACACCACTATCTAAATCCAGAACATTTTCACTGCCCCAGAAGAAACTCCACGCCCATTACCAATCACTCCCTTCTGTCTGCCCCTGGCAACCACCTTCTCTCTGCATGGATCTGCCTCTTCCAGACATTTCACAGAAGTCATACAACATGTGGCCTTTTGTGTCTGACTCCTCCCACTTGGCATAATGTTTTCCAGGTTCAACGGTGTTGTAGAATGAATCAGTACTTCATTCCTTTTTTTGCCTGCATGGTATTCTATTGAATGAATATACTTCTTTTAAATTCAATGTTATTTTGGGTGGCTTGTATATTTTTGAAAGAGACTTAAAATCCCCTTAGAAACAAATCACGGTAGGCAGTGAGAAATATGTGTGACCCACAGGAAGGAAGAAGGGGGTCCCCGGGCCCCTCACACAGGAGTCAACCTGGTGATCAGCGTGGTTTTGTTGCTTTTGCTTCGGGACGGCAAAGCACTGGGCATGTCAGGGCCTGACTGAACCTCTGCTGCCCCCTGCCCCCAGGCCTCTCCTTCAGACTGCCGAATGGGAGATGTTCAGGGGGGCTCCTGAGGGGGGTGACCAAGGAGTTGAGAAGTGGAGCCCTGGAGAATAGGAGCGTGGGGAGTACTACACAAACACACCTATGCACATGCACACACACATGGGCACACGGACACACAGTTTGTGTCTGCACTCAAGTGTGCCACCACTCCCTGTTGCCCCTTTCTTGCTTAAGGGTTCTAGTCAAGTTACAGGAAGTAGGTAGTCCCGGGGGCAACTGCTCTGTGCTGATGTTCTTGGGAACAGCCCTTTGCTAGAGACTGAGCAGACTCGGTCCTGGGTACCTGTCAGCCCCTACGAGAGTGAGAGTGAGTGAGTAAATGAGAGAGAGAGAGAGAGAGGGAGAGAGCGCCCCCCTATGTTTTCCTGTGGGCAAGCAGAAACATAAGGTGGGAAGGGGGCTTCTGTAGGGCTAAGAAATGATCCTGGGGCAAATGGGGTCTGGGGTCTGAGTGAAAAGCAGAGAGGCAGAAAAGAGTGGGTGTTAACAGTGTTAAGAGACGGAATCCTGTAAGAGTCAGAAACGGCCAAAGGAACATGATTTATTTTAGGAAGGGCAAGTTCTCTGCCATCCAAGGTGATAAAAAAAACAAGCCAAAGAGAACAGGCCAGTTTTTCAACCCCAAACGGAAAGACCAGGGGTAATAAATCATTGTGAACTGATTAGGTTAGGACAGAAGAATGATGCAAAAATTCAGAGCAAATTTTCCTATGAATTCTGATATCTGATGAATTGGCTTTCTAGCCGCACAGTTCAGAAAAGCCCTGTCGATCTATCAACCTCTCAGGGAGGGACTCACAAGGGGCCACTGCAGGGCTTGGAGGCTTAGGCGGTCGTGCCAAGTCTGCTCCGATGGAAGCATTTCCAAACTGCTTTTCATTTCCTACTCTTCTTTAGCAAGGAGCACTAAATAGAATTCAACCTTGTTGTGATGGCTGAGATTATGGATGCCACAGGACAACCCGAGAAATAAAATGTGTCCTGCTCTCTTGGTTTTGGAAGTCAATAACAAAGAATGACTAATTTTTTTCTTCCAAGCCCAGGAGAGATGCCAGAGCTCCTGTCCCTTGTTTTGGGGGAATAATTGAGACCTCTGACTTTGAAAGAGCTCCTGGAAACACGAGAGGAGAGGAACTCTGGGGAGACCCAGGCTCACGGTGAACTAGGAAGCTCAGCAGGGAGGGTCTTGCTTCCTGTGGTACTCCAAGGGGCTGGCCTCTGCTGAATGTGAGAGCACAGGTACCTGGGGACAGGATACCTGGCCCCACCAGCCCCGGCTTAGGAGCCATGGCAGAGGTCCCAGTGGCTACGTTGGCAGAGATGGGGTGGGTGGTATGTATATTCAAGCTACTCACCCTTGTATAAACTACATGGATACTGACAATGAGTGCTCAATGGTGACCATGCAAAATGACAAACCGGAAACCCTTTCCTGAACAATGTAACCCTTTGGGTTCTCATATGATGCTAAGATTGGGGTGGGAGAATCCTTAAATTTCACTGAGATGGACTTCTCCCCATTCCTATTTGTGGAGACTGACCAGGTGTAATTGAATTTGGAAAACCAAAGACAGGTAGGTGTGCTGAGTGTGAGTGTGGACAGTGCAACAGTTGGCCTCTTGGCTATGACAGCACAGGGTGGCCCTGGAAGAGAAAGAACCCGACCTCCTGTCACCCCTGCCTTCCCACCACCTCACTTCTCCCCGCTGCTTCCACTCGCTGCCTTATTGACAAACTGCTCCCCTGGGCGAGGTCCTGCTTCTTCTGAGCTCCGGTTCCTGGGCTGTGACCTAACTCCCCACGCTTGCACTCAGGGCTGTCTGCTCGCTTGCAGAACCTGACCTACATCCAAACTGTTCAAGCAGCTGGCAGCCTGGCCTTCTGATGCAGGGGGACTCCTTCCATTCTGTCCATGAGTTAAGGTGATGCTGACACAGGAGCCACAGACTTGCCTGAGATTTCTCTAAGTTACCACGGCTGGAGAAACCCTGACTTCATTTCTAAAGTATACTGAATTTTTGGTTTGCTTTGCATTGCATTTAAAAACAGCAGTGGGGTTCATTGATTGAGATATTTCATATAAAAACTATGAAGTCTCAACATCTCTTGGAAAGAAAAAATATATACCAACATGAGGCCTCAGTTCTTCATGGAAATGTGTGGCTGGTGCTGAGCAGGGTTGCCCCTCTGTTGAAGCTACACTATTCAGCTCACACAGTTGAATCCTCTCTGTTGATACTCCACCTTGCCCCTTTCTCTTTGCCTGCCAGCCCAGGTCAAACCCTGGGGAGGCCAGTATCCTTTAATCTCTCCTTTTCTTGTAAGCTCAGTGCAGACGCCAGCTTGCCTCTTCCTACATGAAATAACAATGCATATTGCCAGCATTATTAAGTCCATTCTGGTCCCCCTTCCCAGGTTGTTTCTGTTATTCTTTCTTTGTGAAGCCAAAGAGCCAGCCCCCATAGGGTGTATGAGTGAAAAACGCCCACCGAAGTTAGTACCTTAACATTCCGGTTGTCCATGCCCTTGGTATTCTCTTCAAACTCCACTCCAACAGTGAAGTCCAAGTCATAGTTGCGGAACGTGCTGTTGGTTTTTGTCTTGAAGTTATCGCCATCTTGATTAATGATCTTCGTCTGATTCAGGCGCACTGCGATCTTGCGGGTGGCAAAGTCGATATCTGTTGGCAAAAGGAGGTGTGGAGGTTCTGATGTGCTCGGCGAGACTCATTCATTTCCTTAACAAAGCCAAGCAATCAAGACCAGAGACACAGGTTGGGGCAGGTCACATTTCTTTGCCTAAGTGGGAAACAAGAGTTATTCTACACATGACCAGTATGGGCATCTCAGTCAACTGTTGGGGACCCCAGGGTTTCTCATGCCTTTCAGGAGCTCTGGTGGCAGGGGCAGGTCACAGGCAGGGCTCACGCCTGAGCTGCAACTCTCCAATCTGTGTTCATGGACACACATGCATGCACACATGCACACACACACACCTCCACCACAACATCTCCATTCTATTTATTTGACATATTGGGTTTCTTTTTAAGAGTTTGCTGAACATAAGACTTCATGTTTTAAAAAGAAAAAGGATTGTTTAAAAATAACTAACTGGTCTAGACAGTAAAGATGGATTTACTGGTCTAGGTAAAGATGGATTTTGTTAATGTCCACAGCAGGGAAGAACATATACAAACTTCCATTTTTAAAGCAGAGTAGGGGCTGACTCAGCTAGGCTGTCCTCCCCCACCCATCAGCCCCCAGGGCAGCAGTAAGCATACTCCAGACACTTAACAAAGACTTGCTTGGAGATTTGTTTTGTTGTTTTTCAGGAAAGGGTGGGTATTTGTTCATATTTTTATTATGAAAAATGTCAAACAAACAAAACTGGAGAGTGCTAGAAACTCTGTATTCATCACGTGGATTCAACAATTATCAAGATTTGCTTCATGTATTCTATCTATGGCTTTCCTTTGTCTTGATACTTTAAAGGGAATCTTATTTATTCCTTAGAGACAATTAGTAAGTAAAAGGAAGCATGCCCTTTAATGGAGTGTTTCATTTCCTAAGCTTTGCCTTTTACAGTAAGAAGTTAAGTGCTGAGCTCACCTCCTCACTAACCTCTGATTATACATAAAATATCACCCAAGCCAAAAAGTCACTATCCTGTGGAATAAACCTAGAAACAGGATAATTCTGGAACTGCTAAACTTCTTTCCTTGCTATGAACATCATTAAGCTCTTGGTCACTAGCCAAATTATATTTGGCCCCCTTTATGCTTTTAAATTCTCTAGATATCTTTGGATACCAAACTAAGTCTTTAATTTTTTAAAAAATCCACCTAGAAGATTTCAAAACCAATAAATTGATTCTATTACACCCCGAGGTAACCTCAAGGGCAAGGACAGGTCAGATGCATTGAGTGCTGTTTCTCCGAGACTTCCAGCCCCATCTCTGTGATAGTAGGCAATTAAACCTCACACTTTGTGCTCTCTAGTTGGGGGTAAATACTGTTGTGTCATGAGAGAGACCAGCAGTTACCAACAGTTCAGGACTTGGTCATTTTGGAGAATTAACGCCTCCTCTGGCTGCACCCCTACCCCTTCTGCTGCCCTTCCATGGGAGCCAAGCATCACTTCCCTCATCCTCGCTCCTCATTTCCTTTCTCACTCATTTCCTTCTGTGGCCACTATCACTCTCCTTCTCCGAGAGAATGAGGGAGAAGCCCAAGCTGGCTGCTTGGACAACAACAGATTCACATCTGCATGGGAAAGGGCCCTGGCTAGTCTTTTGGACCCTAAATTATATAAAGTCAGCTTTTATCATAAGAGAATAATTTTTTCTTTTTTTAAATATATTTTATTAATTATGCCATTACAGTTGTTCTATTTCCCCCTTCATTCCCCTCCACCCTGCACACCATTCCCCCTTTAGTTTATGACCACGTGTCTCAAGTTCTTTAGATTCTCTATTTCCCATACTATTCTTGCCCTCCCCCCTATTTTCTACCTACCATCTATGCTACTTATTTTCTATACCTTCTCCCCCTTCTCCTTCTCCCACTCCCCTGTTGCTAACCCTCCATGTGATCTTCATTTCTATGGTTCTGCTCCTGATCTAGCTATCCTCTTAGTTTGCTTTTGTTTTAGGTGTGGTTCTTAATAACTGTGGGTTTGCTGTCCCTTTCACCTTGAACAAATAATAAAGGAGAATTTCCCCAATCTGGCAAAGGAAATAGACTTCCAGGAAATCCAGGAAGCTCAGAGAGTCCCAAAGAAGTTGGACCCAAGAAGAAACACACCAAGGCACATTATAATTACATTAGCCAAGATTAAAATGAAGGAGAGACTCCTAGAAGCAGCAAGAGATAAGGGGACAGTCACCTACAAAAGAGTTCCCATCAGACTGTCAGTGGATTTCTCAAAAGAGACTCTACAGGCACGAAGGGGCTGGAAAGAGGTATTCCAAGTCATGAAATCCAAAGACCTACAACCAAGATTACTCTATCCAGCAAAACTTTCATTTAGAATGGAAGGACAGATAAGGTGCTTCTTAGATAAGATCAAATTCAAGGAGTTCATCATCACCAAGCCCTTATTATATGCAATGTTAAAGGGACTTACATAAGAGAATAATTTTAAGTAACATCAGTCATCCCAGGAGGTAAAAGGATATCATACCTGAATTCTAAGTTGAAAGGAGAAATCAGGTTCGAGTCAGCATGTGTTGAGCCTTAGATCAACTATTCTTCACTACTCTTTGTTGAGAACCTGCCACACCTAACAATTCACCAGTGAGTCCCCAAACTGGCTGCCCATCAGGATCGCCTGGGGAAATGTGAACATACAGATTTCTGTGCCCTGATCTAGACCCAGAATCTCTGGGTAGTTCTAGATCTTGGCTTTCCTCATAAGGAGCTGTTTGGAGAAAGACTTCCAAGGTTTAAAAAATCTAAAATCTACTGTTTAAGCATTTAGGTGATGATGAGGGGGCCTCGAGTGACTTGTCTGAACACACCCAGCTAGAACTGCAATCACAAGGGTGTGCTAACTCGAAGGACCCCGTGGAGCAATCAAGTGGGAAAGAGAAAACTGGTTTTGAGCGTGGGTGACCTAGGTGGGAGGAGCCAGGGAAATCAGAGACTGAACTAGTTTTATGGGGGAACACAGGAGATGAGTTTTGGGTAAGGTGAATCTGGGGGCCATGCTATGTGGATCCTGATCATATTTGGGGTGGTAGTTAAGGTATGTCTTGGAACCACTCTGGAATGGTGCCCCATGGTGAACCTTCCTTGAGAAACCTCTAACTTTGATCTCCCAACAAACCCATGAGACAAATATTATATTAGCTCCATTTTACTGAAGAGGAAATGGGCTCAAAGAAGCTCTGTCCCTTGTCCTGGCTTATCCAGTGAGGAAGCTATGGAGGCAAAACTTGAACCCAGGACAGCCTGTCTCCCAGGCCAGCACTGGGCTGCACAAGCTCTGGGCTGACCTGTCTCATCAGGTCAGGATCCCAGTTTGGCACTTTCCATGGTTCCCAGGACACCAGTAACTCTGACTCTCCTTATGCTTCCCCTAGAGCTGTGAGGACTTCTGGATCCTGCTGGAAGAGACCTCCCTCATTGGGACAGCCCATGTGTCCCAGCACACTAGTGCACTGTCCCCACCAGACAGCGGTTGTTTGCAGGGCCCAAGGCTCCCTAAGAAGTGCAAGGTGGAGCAGTGACACTTGAACTCCTGTATGTTCCCTGGTGCTCGATAAGCTTCAGCTCTGTGGCTTATGCAGCTGTACCTGGGCGCATCCACACCACACAGCCTGTAGGCTACAGGACATGGGTGAGACAAAAGCTCTCTCTGGGGCCTTTTGTGCTGTGAACACTTCTAGGCACCACATTCACGGAGCCCAGGTGCCCCAATGTGTTGGCCAAGGGGCTCAGGCCCATGCGACATTTGGTGGTCAAGAAAAAGCTCATAATCCTCATAATCAACTAAGTTTGGAAAATGAGAAACGAAAATTGAGATCTTGTTTCTGTGCTGAAGAACTTCATGAAGCCTTTAAACTAGGAAAGATGCTGTGTAGCTCCAATAGCAGGATACAGGATATAGCCTTTCCCCATCTTTTGTGGCCACAGGATGGCTCTGTGGCAGGACCCCCAGCTGGCCAGGTGTTCCATAGGACATAACACAGAGCTGACAAAACCCCCTCTGAGGAATTTATTTCAGTCGCCTGGGCCCTGCAATTATGGAAACGTGGGTTTAATTTTTCTCCTTCCAAGGCAACTGCCAGACTGTTTGGAAGGGAGAAGACTAGACAGGACCAAGTAGTCAAGGATCTCTGACTTAAAAGTGAATCCTTCTTTAAAATTGCTGAATGCCACTAAGGAATGTCTTCCCTACTCTAGTCAGTATAAACACAGGCTTGAGCCAGGCAAAGGGCTAACATGTCACATCCCGACTAGTGTTTCTCTCCTTCTATGTCAGGTACACAGTCTACTGCATCAGGTGATGTCTGCGTGTCTAACTGCCGTCTTGCTGTTGGACACTTGAGTCCAGCTCTAGAAGCAGCAGAGAGCAGTGGCCATGGTGGAGCTTCGTAGCTGCGTCAGGTTATTTTGAGGATGAAGTTTGACAGTGTTTGTGAAGAGCTCTGTCCACTGGCTGGTGGCTTATGGTAATGGCCCCATACATGGTAGCTGCTGACACCACCATCATCATCACTAAGTCCCCTGATTTCACCAGCTGGCTGGCTTGGAGCACCTTTCCCAGGGCTCCCTGTATGTTTGCTCCCAAATTTCTGCCCCTGTGCTCCCTGCTCTCCAGATCTCATAAGGCCCAGCCCCAGACCGGCCTTCTCCAGCCTGTTCCGCTCTTTCTTGCCCTCTTTCTCACCTGCTATGCAGACCATATGGTTTACTCCCCTGGAGATACTACCTAGTATTTCCCTCTGACTTTTTCATGGGGTTCATTGCTTTTTCCTCCAAAGTCTCACCTCTAAGTGGACAAGAAACATGCTGTCTCCTTGCTCTGTGTCCTCATAGAACCAGGCCTGGAGCTTAGCACAAAGTACGTGCCCAAGAAACACTTATGAATTGGCTAATGGGGCAAAGGGAGACTTTGTGTGTGTGTGTGTGTGTGTGTGTGTGTGTGTGTGTGTGTGTGTGCTTCAACAACTTTCCTA